AAAATTTTCAACATAAAGTCCTTGAAATGATTTATACATGATAAAAATTTGCAATCGTAGTGCTACACCTTCCTCAATGATAATTGTGTAGTTCTTAAAAACCTCGGGGTAATAACCCTACTGCCTCTAGATATCAAAACTCATTTATACATCCATATAAACAGCTCTCCATGCTCACACCCAAGTCTGGGAAAATAGCCCGTCGTATCCCTTTACCCATTTTGCAAATCCCATAAATCCCTTAAATGTGAAAATTCGGTAACCCTCACAAAAAATCTCTCTCCCATCCCCTCCATACACCCCCTTTTATTTTACACTGTGTCCTATAAAAAGTTGCTGCCAATGCATTAATTCTTGCAACGCACGTCCGCCTCCCTCATAGCCCACATTCATGTATATATAATCCGTAATCATATACCCAATCGCATTCTAAACCCCTTTTTTATTCACCCCAGTTATATCTAAACTTAAAACCCTCAAAACCTGCAAACCCCCCCCCCCCCACAAACCCTTTAAAAACCTTACCCATCCAAACCCTTATAAGTTCAATACAATCGCAAAATCCCACCGTATGATTAAATAGTCGCCAAATCCTCCCAATCCCTGCATTCCCCATCCTCTCGTATTCTTTTATAGAATAAAACCATTCCTGACGGCAAGTATTCCATGTAAAAATCTAAAACATAATTCTCTTACTTTAGGTTTTAAACGCAATTATTTAAACGCCCCCAAATATTATGCCAATCATACATCGGATAAACTCCTTCTACCGCCGCTACCAGAGCCTTACCATCTGCCCTATCAAGATTTCTCAATTTAATTTGTGAGTGATCCCTCACGTTTATGATGACCGTAACATTGCCTCACCTATCATGAACCCCGACCCCCCCACCACCGTCGCATTTTCCTGATGTATCCTATGAAGACCGTCTTCTTTCGCCCCTCCCTCCCGCTTATAACTATGTTTTAAATACATACTTATTATCCTCTTTTCGACATCTATAGACCCAGCCCTCCACGGCCAACGGGAGTGTGACAACCGCTCTACTTAACCTTTCGCTCCCTGTTCCCCAAATGAATCTAAAAACACTTTTTTGTAACCTTTTTAATTCACAACGAAGTATCGGAAATTTTACCGTAACATGCCATAGTTTACTATATAATAGCACATTCGTTTGTTATCACCCTTTGTTGCAAACTTAAATTAGCAGCTCTCAACCCACTAAGACGCTTCAGAACACTATCAACGATACGCACGGTTTTTTATTTGTTGTGCTGACTTGAAACATTTACATAAACGATCCCACATCTCTTTATTTGGTCCACCCTTTCCCACCTTTCAGCTACCATTCCTTCCTCACGCGACCCTTTTCCAGTTCATATACTTTGTTTTCCTCATGTTGATCGTCATGCCAGTAGCCTTTTCAAAACTTTCACTAACTTTTCTACCCGAATCAAATCCATGTTTTCTCTCACCAAAATCGTCGTGTCGTCGACATATCCAACAATGCCCGCTCCCCCACCCCTTCATTACTCATCCCATTTGCTTCCAATAAAACCCTTATCCCTCTATAAAAGGGGTCTTGAAAACAAGCAAAAAAAATTTGTGAAAGGGGAAAAACCTTGACGCAAACCCCTTCCCATCTAAATTTCCGATCTCCCAACCTCCCATTCACCTGCACACGCAAAGATGCCCTTGATACATTAATTTGGCCCATGATAAAATTTTCCCCGCCCCAAACCCCTGCCATCTCATTATCTTCCAAAAACGTCTCCCGTTCCACACTATCATATGCCGCCTCCCAATCTATAGCCAATACCCCCCATCTCCCAATCTTACTCTTTCTTCAAAAAAAACTTCTAATCATACCGTGACCTTCATACATAGACCTGCCCGGCACCCCTTATTGTCCCTCGTCAATCACTTTGCCCAGGACTTTTTTTATTCTGTTGGCCAAGATCCTTCAAAAATTTTATAGTCCCCACATAATAACGAGATTGCACGATAATCTTTAACCGTTAATGGCTCGCCTTTAGGAACTAGGACGACCACACCCCAACCTTTGTTGTTCCCCTAAAACCCCATCCCGCTTCATGATATTGAATAAACGACCAAAAACCCCTTTAAAACGTTCCAATTTTGAATATAAAAGTCGCTGGGCAACCCATCTATTCCTGGCGCCTTACCCAATTGCGCCCCAGATAAAGCCTCCCAAGTCTCACACTCCGTTTTCGGCCCTCCCAACATCAAACGATCATGCTCCTCCAGCTCACAACGCACAAACCTACCGATTGACTTGCAATGCAATTTCACTTATTCCCAAAACTTTGCGTTTCAATTTAACCCAAGCATCAATATACCCACTCATACCTCCGTCGTCGTCAACACCTGATTTTACTCTATACCCCTGCATACCTACCTGGACATTCAACCCCATTAACTCCATTGCTTTGCGACGTCTGTGTTGATTCCTCAACACACACGCCGACGGCCGATCTCCACAAAACCTCTTTTGATTCCACCTTAAGCCTTTTTCCCCCTCAAACCTTTCGTTTTGTAAATTACGTATTGCTCCTTAATTCGTTCAATTTCTGTAACAGGATAATTAGCATTCGCTTTACATAGCAGTCGCGCAACTGCCCCTCTAAATATCGTTGGAAACCATACTGTAACTGATTATATCTCACTCCCTGAAATAATATAAAATTCCTTAATTTGCTTTTTGGCTATCATTCCCACCAATTAACCAAAGCCACATCTCCCGGTGCTTCAACCACAAGGCGTTCCCACATATGCCCAAAAGGACAAACGACTTTCCTCTCTCTTCAATAACTTTTTCATTTAATTTCCAAAATGACGGACCCCTTCTAGGCACACCCTCAATATTTTACATCCATTACAACTCCTCTATGATCCGAAAAAAAACCCCATTTATCACACTCCACTCTCCGCACTGTAACCGCACTAGACACGTACATTCTATCTAATCTCGCCGCATAATCTCTTCTAATGAAAGTATGCTCCACATTGCCACCCCCCCCACACACATCCATTAAACCCAACTCGTCAATAAATCTCCCAGGAACCCAAGCAAAAACCCGCTCCTCGAGGCTCCCATCTTTTCGTCGTATTTTCACAATTCCAGTCTCCCCCTATTATCGCACATTTGGTAAACTACGTAGATGATATACTAATACATCTTGTACAAAATGAGTTTTAAGTCGTGCATCTCCCTCGGCCCGGCCCATATACACCTACAAAACTTATAGTACTCTACCCCATAAACCATCCCCCCTAATCACTCTCCCCTCCCCCCCTTTTACTATGGCGTACTACAAACGGGCTATTTTCCTTTACCAGAATGGCGACGCCTCCTTTTAACCTCGTCGCATATTCCATATACACATCGTAACCATCTAATTCCAACTCATATCCAATTCTGTAATTGTGTTCTTGGATAAATACCACATCCACATCTAGACCACCAAAAATTCATTAAACCACTTTCGCTTCCCCTCAGATCTCAAAAACCGTTAATATTTATTGTCAAAACCTTAAAGTCAATTAATGGGATTTTCCTTTGGTTCTAGGTATAGACTTTTCACTTATACATTTTACACCTCTATCCCTCTCCCCTTTTTGGGAATCACCTTTATAAACTCTTGTTTCGTGGATTCACTGTTCCCTTTCCTCTGTACATCCGCCCAAGACTTTTTCCCTGGCCTTTGGGCAAAGGAGTGAGCACGTCGTCTGTGTCTGGTGGGGTCGCAGTTCGCTTTCGCGTCCTACCCTCCACCCGCATTGGGATTTCTTTAGTACTATCATGATGCACCTCCACTTCTGCTATATTTACCATCATGCCATGCGACACCCCAGACTCCCAAAGCTTTCCATCCGTCGCCTCACCATGATGCTCAACCGATCCATATTTGCACCTGGTTCCTCCACACGGTTGACGATCGACTCGTCTAACAATACATCCAGTGCCTTCATAAAGACGCCGCTACATCCTCGTCCCCCATATGGGGAGAGTCTCTTCAAATACTTTATTTATATCAGTGATGGTGTTCTCTCGCGGTTTTGCATCCTCCAAAGCCTTCTCCTGCGCTTTTTCTACCTCTTCACTCCAAGATGTCCGTTGTCGAGACGGGTGAGCATAAGACTGTTCTCGTCCCTCCACTTGCTCGACTTCTTCCGGTTGTTGCTGGTGCGATATTTTGGGGATTCCTACGACGCTTATCACACTGTGCCGCTATGTGGTCATACGATCCACACAGCCGACACGTACGACGTTGCCCCGCATATGTTACATATAACCCGAGTTCGAAATGTCTGCAACATAATATAGGACGGTATGGGATGGCGGGAAGGTCATTTTGACTGAATATGTTCCCTCAAACTTCACTAAGGTCAGGGCCCACCGACTGCAGAGGCCATATGAACCGTACCATAATTGTTTTCATTTTTATAACAATTATTGCCTCAAAAAGGGACTTCCTTATTTAACCATGTGTAGGTCGTGATACTCATGTAGACCCTACTGATACAGCTGAATTGACGGCTTAATGGTCTCTTGTACTATCCACACCGCTTCATAAACTTGCTGACGTCTTTTAACGAAGATCGTGTTCGTCCATTAGGTACACCACATATCTCTCATTTGCGATACCGTAGGTTTCACGGATAACGCCGTAGTAAAAGTCCATCGTGGCTCCGTGACAGCCCCCCGGGGTTTAACTCAACGCAAACAGTGTTGATGCGTTCGAGCTCTGCAGCGCCATGTTGGTAAATGAGCAGCGCACTCCTCACTTCTCAATGGTTTGACGAACGGGGGTACCGCCGACACAGGGGTGCAGCGCACAACCTCACTCGGACCGTGGGCAGCAGCAAATGTAAAATGTGGAACGCTTCCGATTTTGGTGTCATCCTTGCGCAGGGGCCATGCTAATCTTCTTGTATCTTTCCCAATTTTAGTATATGTACTGCCGAAGAAGTACAAAAAAATGGGGAAACGTTCACGATTTTGCGGGTTCCTTGCGCGGGGGCCCATGCAAAATTTTCTTTTATCGTTCCAATTTTAGTATATGTATGCCAAAGCAAGTACATAGGGAAAATATTATGGGGTTATGGGTCCCCTTTGCTATAAAGGACTCCTAGTCGAGGAATCTTGACTACGCTTTCATGAAACAACCCAAATTACCGCCTTTCTCAGGGGCGTAAAACCCCTTACAGGAAAAGTCCCCCTCACTCATTAATGTGGTGGGTTTAGTGTCATTTTAAGACCGACACACCATTTTTAACGTAAATGATACAGTGACTTGTTTAAGCTAATATTTTTCCTTAATGAGATTCTTGATCGTCAGCTCTAAAGTGAACACCTCTCATGTAACCTCATAAACCCCTTCCCCATGATTACGTCAGTGAACCCTTCATTATACGTAGTGAAACCTCTCTGTTCCCTTAGTGAACACCTCTCAGTATCCTCAGTAAAACACCTTCATAATACGTCAGTGAAACCCTCTCATGATATACCTTAGTAAACACCTCTCTGATATGCCTCAGTAAAAACACCTCTCATGATATACGTCAGTAAACCCACCTCTCATGTATACACGCCAACTATTCACAAGACATATGAATACCTCTAAATGATTTAACACAAGTACATTTGATGATATACACAAAGCACATCTTAGTGAAATAGAGAGTACCTCTTCAGTACCTGGTTTTGTTGGTACTCTGAGGTTGAACTTCGTTATTGTCTGAATATTTTATACTTCGTCCCCAGAAAGCTTTGTCGCCGGGCCAGTTTTGGATAAGCTGTAATGTAAACATTAAAGAAACGGTTAGCCGTTGGTAACATCAGTAAACGGCATAAACCCGAACCGTAATTTTAACATACAGTGGACAATGGGTTTTACATGTGATTTACCTGTGGTCAGTTTTCGAGGGCTCTTTGACCCTGCAGCCCAGCCTGATGTATTACTGTCAAGTGAATAATGTCATCTGATGTACACTTATCACCCAGACTGACGGTTACTCTGCGACAATTTGTATTGAAAAGGGTAGTGATAAACTCATCACTTGCGTCATTATGCGGTGAACAACACCTAAGTATCCACCTTTTAAAATCAGATGGTGGGGAAAGTTTGATCCCCGAATATCACCCAGTTTAAAGTTCCACTTATAACCAACTACTATTAAGAGAAGCGGGGATGAACAGAACCTTCAAAACAAGAGTGCTAAGCCAATGATGATGTTCTTCAAGTCGTTCCTTCCTCTTGGTTGGAAAAATTGCTGTGTATTTAACGGCTTTCCTACAAGGCAAAGCGAAACTGCAGAACTAGAATTGTATAGTGAACCTTCACAGCTCACATAAACTCACCCCGAACACTTAAATAACTAGGAAACCCTGTAATCTCTCGAATTTGTACTCACTGAAACGTGGGCGAGAAAAGATACGTGATAATCTACCCTTGGAAGATTCTGGAGGGATTAGTCCTAAATATGTAACGCGAAAATACTACATATGAATATAAGTGGCTTGGCAGAAGGTGCAGGATACCCTGGAGTGAAAAGCAGAGAAACGAGAGTACACGCAGAACTTAATAAGTGTTAAGGGACCACGACTCTAACACCTCTCCCCTCGTGTATAAGAGGATTACCAACAGACCTCTGGCTATCTTCGAAGAATAAACTTGATAAATTCGTTACAGCACTTCCCGATTAGCCAGGCTGTGGTGCCTAAGATGGGCTGCGGTCCAGTAGGCATCAACGGCTTGACCCCTCAAGGGGTCAAGCTGTTGACAAATGGTGAGGGGCTCTTGATCTAGGGAATTGGATCTGTGCTCCGGTTCCTTGAATTGAGCCTAAATACCTTCCATCCCCCCACATGCGTTGTATAAACCTACAGGTTTAGCGCTCCCCATAATTATAAAAATAATCAACGCTTGATCGATCAGGCCAGCAACAGGAGGCCTCGTCTGGGACCGGGGGCGCGGGGGCCGGTGACCCCAGGAAGCTACTACTGGTAACTACAAGTTATCTTTCTCTTCATTTCTCACATCCAAGACATTCTCGTCGCTCCAGAGTAATTCTCACACCATTCCCAAAAAACCCACCAATATACCTCCACACCTGCGCATCTTCCAAAACCTCTCACATCTGTGAACTTCCAACACTGGAAACTAACAGCGTTGGACCACTACCGTCGTGGAACTATATCACCCCCAGGTTAGTAACACCCCTTTTGACGGTGATAGTTCCAGAACGGCACCATATGAAGCGCAGGTTTCAACCTTTACATCACAATGCTAAATATTCACACCAGGGACAAAAGAAATCCATACAGACAGAACAGGAATCCTCAACACTAACACACCTTCCTAACCCTGGCATTGTAAATTCAAAATTTTTCATCTTAAATTACAATAGAACCTTAAATGGTTGTAATAAAGAACCTTAGATGGTTCAACGTAATATCGGAGAACCCCAACAAGACAGGTAAATTAATCATTAAGCTTTCAAAGGGAATATGTTAGTGAGTTGTGTAAGTTATTTTAAGAGCAGTAAAATTCCCACAAATCAGACATCGTGTATTACGCCTCTATAACCTGTATGTGTTACATGTACATCTATTAACGCGACTAGCTAGTATCTATCGTTGCTGAACGTCCCCAAGTTCACCAACACCCGCACTTAGCAGAGGAACCTCACGGTAACATTTTCCCCCCGTGATGGTTCATTGTCAAGCAGATGTGAAACCTGACAATTCCAGGACTGGGGGGGAAACGTCATCATAAAGTGTCACTGCTAAGAACGGGGTTTTGGTGAATTGTTCCAGCCTGGTCACGGACAGAGCCGCGGGGGCGTTGACCCCTGAACCCACCCCTCCCCCTCCAGGAATACTCTAGGTATACGGTGTTGCGATTTTCTGTTCTTCGTAATGTGAGTTTCTGGGAGGAAAAGATGTTAGAACATCAGTAAAGCGGCAGTGATCCCAGGTAATGCTTAACTTACAAATGGAAAACGTCGAGAATAACAGTGAAAGGCAGATGTGGCATGCAAAGAGTACGTAACCTTTATTCGGCGCATGGACACACCCTCATTTACAGGCTATCTCCCCCAACCAGCGAACCAGGTTGCTAAGAGTTGATGATGGGGCCCCATCGTTCAACTAGTGACCAGGTTCTAGCCAATAAGAAGGTGGGATTGACAATCGCAGAGGTTATGTGGATACCGCTTTCCTGTCTGCCCTTGTCATTCCCACTCTAGAGCTGGTTGAAGCACGGTCTGCTATCTTGTGGCTTCTATTTCTGCCTTGCTTACCGTGGAGTGCACTATTTTTTATCACTGTACATAGTGTACATATTGCTGTTATAATTGGTGTGGGATAATATAAGTCAAAAACTTTTCTACTGTGTTTATTTGCTCCCATTTACACCGGGGAAAACAGGCCATTTGAAATCCTAGGTTGTAATTGGGTAGCCTGTCCGAGAGCTGGACTTAGAGAAACGGTTGAGCTTAGGGTGAAGCTTGTAGCAGGAACATTGTGTAGCTTGCTGTTTCGCTTCGCTTTAAAAATTTTTTTCCGTGTCAGTTGCTTATGATCAGCCTTGCTATTGTGTGATCGTTCAACAGCTCGTTTACTAGCTTTTTTCGTGTGCTCCCCTTCCCGCTACGGTCAATTTTTTGTGTGCAGTCGGCTTTGCTTGTATGCGTATTCTGCAATCGTACTGTGCATAAGCTAGCTTTGTTCTGCAAATTAACGTGTTACTTTGGGGTTTATTCGTACTGTGCATAGCGAATAACTTATGCCCCTAGACGAGTCAGACGCCGGGTGTCGGCATTACTTTGCAAAAACCTACCTAAATTGTCCCTACAGCGTTGTTGGCAAATTGCTCGTTCCATTGGCTTTTCCCTATAAACGCACTCTCACAGCTGCGCAACTGCGTTTCACTTATTGCTAAAATCTTATTGAAAAAGAGATGGCACATCAAACTCCTCCTTTACGGGAGCTAGGGAAAAAAACTACTATGTTCTCGCGGGAGGAAAGATGATAACCTACGGAGCAAAATGGTCAGTTTTAGTGCAGCTGGGTTGTCTCAGGGTGAATCAGCGTCGTTGGCACTTGAGCTGGCAAAAATCACGCTGGAGCAAACTAGGGAAACAGGGGAGCATTCGCAAGGGAAGAATTTTTTAGGGAAAGAGAGGGGAAAGGCAGTTTCGCATTCTGTAAACGATTTCAGTTTACAAAAAGCAGTACGCTTGTTCCCCGCTTCAATGAGGCCGAACCAGAGCAATTTTTCGAAAGCTTCGAAAATCAGGCTCGAGCTTGAGGTGGGCCGGAACAGCACTGGGCAGCGTTGGTTCATACAGCATTATTGGTAAGGCCACAGGAAATTTACGTTCGGTATTAACTGACGCTAAATTTCCCTCTGATTATCAAGTAGTGAAGACCACAGTGTTGGGAGCATATACATGTATCCCAGCTAAATATCGTAAGACCTTCAAATTGAACAGGCGGGCAGTTTGGGTCAAATCCCTGGTGGACTTTGTGAGACAGCAAACCAAAGCTTTTACCAGCGGGTTAAAAAAGCGAGTGGTGTCTCTAACTTGAGGAGCTGGTGCAGCTTATTCTGATTGAAAACCCTGCTGGGTCTGTGGGACCAGAGGTTCGTGTCTTTCTGCAGGATCGTGACTTAACCACTGCATTGGAGGCGGCCAGGTTGGCTGATACCTTCGAAACGGAACCGCTCCCTTGTCCGAGCGGTCCCGTCTCTCTTTTTTCAACAGTCTGGCGTGAGCAGAGATCGACAACATTGGAGAATGAAGTGCCGCCGGAGGGAGAGCGTCTACGTCATCCAACCAAGTCCACCTGGTGAGCCACGCTTCTCAACATATGGTCCCCCTGCGGAGAGGCAAACTACTTATGGAGCATCTCGACAACAATATCCGAGAAGGGCACCAGCCAGAACGACACCACTTGCAAACGTCATCAGGGAGTAAAGGGCAAGCCTGTCGTCTGCTTCAGGTGCAATAAAGTAGGTCACATCAGTTCCAACTGCCCCCAAAAACTCAACCATCGGGAAAATCTCTATATCC